AATAACTGCTTTATGCTCGTAGTTATGTATATTCTGCTTACAGATTATCTTTGAGACTGGATAAAAATACCTGAACAAACTGATCCAAAAGTGAGGCTGTAACAAGTACCTGTAAATACATTTTCATATTTTTTACATTCACTAGAAGAAAAAAAAAAAAAAAAAAAGCAGAACTTTGTTCTTATCGGTGGAAAAGGACTCCCCACTGGGATAAGACTGAAGCACAGCAAGGAAAAGTCACTTTCTATTTGTGCTTGCAAAAAGCACAAGCTATTTACCAAAACATCCTATTTACAAACAAATTTTTTCTTGGCCTTCTTTTAAACTCTTGTTTTATTACATTACTTTTAAGTGCTTTACCAATATTACTTAAAAACATCAGCCCTGTGTGTAAATTTCAGGTGGTGAAAATAATGGGGGAAATTCCTACCACAGGAAGGAAGCAAGCTGATCTGAACACCTGTAGTGGACATGTGGGAAGTCTTTAGGGTGCCACATACCTTCATTCTTTAAGTTCTCCAAAAAGGTCTCTTTATCCCAGTGAAGCTGTCAAAAGAGATCACGTTACCCAGCTGAAGGGAGACCGATGAAATACAGCAGAATTCAGAACGTCACTGATCTAGGTACCCAGTGAAAGGATACTGTTGAAAAAGGCAAGATAGATAAATGGGTAAAGCTTGCCTGTTGACAAGCTGTCCTTTCTTCTGGGACATAGAGAAAAAATCTAGTAGCATCTTCCTGTGATGTTTCTTCTTTACTAGAGAAATAGGCTGCACAGGTTTCTCAGATGGTAGATGCAGTTAGAGCTGTCCTGAAAAGGAAAGACTGACTCATTTCACACACAAGCTTTTACACACTCCCTCTGGTCACTGCACTGTAAATCTTTGCTGTTCTGACATCAGCTTGGCTTTTTTTTAGTAGCTGGAGGAGAAGATGCCAAACAGAATAGGTTTGGTATATCCTAACCCCTATTCTGAATAGAATTAATGGACCAAGTGTGAAAGCCAAAAGCCTCAGATTTGTTTGGGTTAATCAATGCCAGAGTTTGTTGGCTAGAGAATGATACAGATGATCTTTCACAGTTGAAAGACTACATCAGTGTTGCAAGCGTTTGGAAGGTAACAGCATACATGTCTTAAATGCCACCAAATAACACATCGGCTTTCACAATAAGACAATGCTGGACAGGACAGGATTGAGTATCTTATGTGAAAGTTTGCAAATAATTTTGGAGTGGTTAATCAAAGCAAAAGGAACAGCTGCAGTGAAGTGCGCACAGGAGGAGTAAGAGTACAAACTCGTATAAATATTCTGGCACATAAAATGGATTTCTCATGTCAGCTGTTTCTGCGGAAAGTGAGGTGGCACAGTTTGTTAGTCAATCATCAAGTTTGTCTGGTATGGTGGAGGTACCATAATAGAAATTAAAGCCTGAAGGGGAAAGCAAAAGAAGACTTTTCAAAATTGTTTGTTTTCCTGAGATAACCTGAGGACCAGGAAAGTGCTTCAGACTACTCTGACTTACTCCACAATTATTCTAGCTCAGTATCTGCAGCCAGGTATTAGCAGAGCTCGGCTGATCAACAGTACTTTGTTACGCTGCTGTCAATGCATTGCTTGCACCTGCCCAGTGTAGTTAACTTGGAACAGAGAAAGATAAAATATTTTGTTCAGTGCCCAAAGAAAGGCTTTCTAATCACTAACAACCAACAAACAATAGGGTCTGTGCATAATCTTGCACAAAACACTTTACCAGTATGAACTCATCCAACATGATGTTTATTGCTATTTGTTAACAGGCACAACATTTTATTAACAGCATGTTTGCAAGCAGGGTTTAAAACAGGTTGTATGCAACAGGATGGAGTCAACGTTTGAACAAGCCAGTTTGTAACAAAAATGAGTTTTATTATATATAATAAAAGTATATTACATAAAGACATTGCATTATTGCAGATTGCCTGATAGAAATGACACACACAACCTTGTATCAGGCAGAAGGTACTAATCTGAAAGCACTCATTCTTATCAAATATATTTGGAGTTACGGTAAGAGAGCTAAGTTTATCATGGGGCTAATGAGAAAAGCAAATAGAAAAATGCGTTTCCAATCTGCATTTATTCTGAGTCTGTTACATATAGCTTTTGTAAGGTAGTATTCATACTTAACTCAAAAAGACTGCTTATTAATTTGAGATTAATTCAGCATGGTGGTGAACAGGAATAATACAACAAAACCTGTATTCATCTTCTCATCCATTGCTTTTTAGACAGCCAACATAGTGGGGCAGTACTTCAATACCACAAAACGGTGAAAATGGTGTTTCTTCAGTTACAGGAGTCTAAATGTGTTTAGCAGCACACAGCATGAGGTTTTTTTCTCTTCATTAAGAGCCATCAGTCAAGGATGTCTTCACTGCATAAGCTAATGTAGATCAAGTTTCCTAACCTCTACCTCTCACTAGCTCCACTGCAAAGACATTTGTTCTCAGTATCTTGCATTAGCATTGTGCAACCAAAAGCTTGGGCTGCACGCTGCCTGCAGCCTGACCCCAGCTGACCCACCCAGGAGACCACCTGGCCGGTCGCAGGGTTGGCAGTCCTTGAGACATGTCAAAAACCAGGAGTATAATGTAAAAAACTGTTGGCCAAGGGGGAGAGGGTTCTCCAGGGCAGCACAGCCTGCAGTGAGCCAGCCTTCCCTTCGCCTATGCAGGAACAGTGGCGAGGCACAGGCACCCACTGGATCACCCAGTCATTGCTCTGCCATGGGGTGCACCCTGGGGTGCCCAAGACCAGGTCAGAGCCCCTCTCCTGCCACCAGCATCAATATAAAGCTATGTTGAGAACTGGGTAATTGGTAAAGCATTTGGCTGAGGAGAGACAGCAGTTGATATTTTATTCTCTTTTCCAAGCCTTACTCTGAGCAGAGCAGTTCTCTATCTGATACACACCATCAGCAGTGGTGATCTTGACAAAAGGATAATAACATCAGAGATTATCTTTAAAGAAATAAAACGCTCAAACATTGCAGCTGTAAGACAAGCATTCGGGATAATTTTTAATTCCAATGACGTATCACCTCTGCTCTCCAGAACTGGGTATGCCAGCCAACGCTGCTGCACTTGGGGAGACAAAAGGACTTTCAGGCAGCAATTCAATGCCATGAACTACCAAAGTGACCCTCCACCTCCACCCTTACTTCTAGAAAACTGGCTTGCATTTACAGCTACAGTGCACAAGCCTGCTTACACACAACTCTGTGCGGACTGACACAGAGAACAACACAGTTCTTGCATGCAAACCAGATATTTCATCATATATTTCCCATACCTCTTTTCCCATTTTCTGTGAAAGAGTAAGTGACATTGTAATGTGGTTTGAAAGAGTTAAAATTTTATTTTAACAAAAGATAGAGGAGGGAAAAAACCCAGGCAGCAGAAAGCAACTCTGAGCACTTCAAAATAAATGCATAGGTTTTACCATAACTTGTTTGGGTTTTCCCCCAAAATAAGGGAAGGGCTGAAGAAAAAAGACGATGCATGTTCATTTTTTTTTTTGTATCTTTTTTATTCAAAAGTTTTCAAAGAAATAAAACAGAAAAAAGCTAACAATCTAATCAAATTTACAGTTCAAAAATGTCTTTTGGCGTTTAACAACAAGTCCTAGGAAACAAAACTACAGAGTTATCTTGAACCGGACAAATAAGTTACCACTGGCAAGTTTGTGGCACTAGTAAAACAAAAATAAAAAATTAACTCTCTTGATCATATAGATATCTCTATGAAAATCTTTTTTTTTTTTTCAATCTGTACAAAAGGTCTTTCTTCATAAATTAATTTTTTATAATTTAATGGCTGTCTACTATGTGATGTTTAAGTAACTGATTAATTCTTTATGTACAGAGGTTAAATTTCCCAAATCTTACCCAGACAATGAGTATGGCACTTAGTTCAGACATTTCTGGCAGCAACTCTTCCCTCCCTCTAACACAGCTATCATACTGCAGTTTTAATTAACGCAAAAATATCAAGTAGTGAGAGATCCAGGTTTGGAAAGTTACCAGATACAGGCAAGGTGCTGCAGGAAGTCTGGACTTTTACAAAGCAGTAATATTCCAGGGAGCATAGAACCAATAATACCACAACTTTTTAAAAAAAGAAAAAACAAAAACACATCTCTTATGACTATGTATTTCACTAGAATCTACACTTCTCAGAGCAGCAATTTACTTTTGAAACTATGAAATGTCACCGACATCTATACTCCAATACTCACACAAAATTTAAAAACTAAAAAATACTTGAAAGAAACAACTGCTTAGCCCTAGCTCCCGAGCTAGGATGATTTGGTCTGTGGAAACAGGGAGGGCCAGCAACCTGTCCCAATACAAAAGGAAATAAACTTTGAGGTAGATAACTGATCATATACAGCTGACCAGAGAAGTACACAGTTTTGGAAGACAACTTAATTTATCATTCGATTTAAAACATATGCAATTGTAATAAAGAGCTTTAATAGCAGTGAATTATCTAATATGTGAAGTACAAATAACTGTGTATTTATGAATCAGGAATTTCATAGTTTCAAAATTGGTTTTCTTTACACTTAACACTTGTAGTGATGATGTAAAGTGTGGCACTGCTTGGATCCAAGTCTTCCTTCATGCTTTTGTGTCCATACATCAATTAAAATTATAAAACCTAAATGCAAATGTACAAAAAAGGCACATTCTCCTAACCGCAAACTGGTCCGGCAAAAATAAAAAGTACAGAAGACGTAATGCTGAGACAAATCAGAATTATTGGTTACTGGCTCTTTGTTCTTTGGTAAAGTTACCTTTTAAAAGTGCCAAGTCTTTTTATTTTTATTTACCTACTATAGAGAGCTAGTACCCAATCAATTATGCTTCTACCTACATCTCAGCGTATGTTTGAAAACGAGTCCTTTAGCTTTTGCCATTTTGCTGTAATAGCAACTTTTCTGTTTGCTAAGTCTCAGCACAATCCTCATCCTAAAGCACTATCATTAGTATAAAGGAAGGACAAAAACATTCCGTGATATCCCCACCCCAAACTCCCTACTCTACCTATGCTAAAACTAGAACATCAAGTTAGTTTCTGAAAAAAAGGCAAAAAAAAGATTTTACATTGCATCATACAGCAGAGTTCCTAAATCATTCAAACTACCAGAGGGAACTATTGGCATATGGCCTTACAAACAATTTATCCTATTAAAATTTCCCCAGTCAGAAAATGTGTTTCACACAAAACATTTTTTTCCCCTCCTGCATTTCACTACCTTACATATTATGTGAAAAAATCATTAAAAACACTTACTACACATTAAAAAAGCCAAATTTTCAGCAATTTTTATTGACTACCTTTAAAAGCCCTATGCTGCTGTTTTACAAGGCATAATAGACCAGCTCATTTGGTCAAAGCATTCTACACCATTAGTTTGGACTACTTACTGAAACAGCTACAGCATTGAAAGATTTAAGGCAAATTGGAATTTATAGAAAAGGATAAGACACTTCACACTACATTAAAAGAAAAACAGAAAGCTAAAAGACCAGACACTATAACTGCAACACTGCACTTAAGCAACACTCACACACTGCAAGCACAGAACATCATCTTAGATGTTTTACTATTTTAAACTTCAGAAAACCCATTTCATACAATTAAAAAAAAAAAAGAAAGAAAAAGAAACAAACAAAAATAAACCAAAACACAAATTCTGTCATGCACGTAAGTAAATCTTCGTGGTCATCTGTGCATACCCAGAAATTCAAATTTATTTTTTTTTTGCGTCATAACACTTGATAAAAATTTTTTTTTTTACTAAAATAAACCTGTTCATGGGAACAGCTACTAGATGAATTTAAGGTTTTTCTTATGCACCTTATAGAACTTATAGCAAAAATAGTTTTAGTTGATTTCATTATAAATAACATTTTCAAGAACCTGTGCAAAACTGTCAATAATTCCTAAAGCACAATTGATCAGTAAAATCCATGATTGTTTCAGCCTTTGCACCCTTCTCCAGGCCAGGTCAACACTGGACATCTGTAACACAGAAAGGTCAGAGCTAGAGCAGAGTTACAATTGCATGGGGTTTTTTTCTAATGTAGTTGTCCATAAAACAAAATAATTTCCTATTTTAGACAGCTGTGAGAAGTCTAAATTAATCTGAATACTAATCTGAGAAGTAACACAAGTGGCACTACAGGTGCCTGGCCCTTCCCAGGATAAGGCTCTCCAGCCGGATACAGCCTGTGTCATATTTTCCCCCTCTATCTCCAATACCTGTTCCGCACGCAGAGTTCCCACTGGGGAACTGTGGGACTGCACCGAAAGCTATTCTCTTCTTTGTTGTTTTGTTATTGCTATTTCATTTCAGCTGAGCAAAAGTGCTGGAGGGTGTGAGCTTACTCCTATGGCATCTTTGGTACAAGGGAACACAACTCACTTCTTTTGGTGCAGCCTCAGGTACACGATGCACAACAGCTAATGCAGAGACAGACACTGTGCCTCCATGATGGTTAATGCCTCGCAGGGCTCATTAAATTTGAAGGAAGACTTCTCAACTTACTATATTGGCTTATGTTGCCATATGGGTTTAAAAAAATACCCAGCTAATGAAAAAAGTTTAGACAATTTTTGAATTTCTCAAGGCAGAACAAAGTCTGGTATTTTAAGGTTTGTACATTTATAGATGCATATATAATAACAATGGGCTCTTTCCAAGTCCCTTGACTATTTTCACATCATAGCAACTTGTTGAAAAGAAGCTATAAAGTTATTAAATGTAGCCATTAAATGAAAGACATTGTGTACATCTGATTGACTGCATCCACTTGTGCAAATGTCATTTACCTCTTATTTATGGCAATATGCATACTGACTCTTAGTAGGATATTCCCAGAAGTGCTGCATACGCATTTGGAAAGAAGTTTAAATTTGACAATAGTAATGAAGCCACAACAATTAAGAGACTGCACTGCTCCCTGTATTTAGGGCAAGAAATAACTGTCAACTCCTTCCCCTTCACCTGTCTGAAAAATGACAAGTACTAGCATGTTCCAGGGACAGAAATACCAAATGCTATACTCTGAGGCTGAAATCAGTTGAGTAATATTAACCTTCCCCACGTGCCCACTGCCATAGCCAGTGCTGACACAGATTTCACTGGCTCCTACTATGTGTAAATACAGGTAACAGAACTTCTCTGAAGAATAACATATGTGGAGTATTGGCTTACAGCAAACACAGGGAGATGCTCGCAGAGCTCAATACTCTACACAGAGTCATCATTACAAAATGTGTCTCAGATGGCAACACATCTCATCCTTTCAGGAGACTAAAGCTGCTCCTCCTGCCTGGCCCCAGCCTACAGGAAACATGCTGACAGGCTGGGGGAGAGAGAAGCAGGACAGGGAGATGACATGCAGGATTATGCTTCGCTGTCTACCACAGATCTCTATTGGTAAGGAGGATTTACATGCCCACAGGCGAGACTTAAGGCAAAACAAATAATTCCTTAAAAAGCGGTTAACACCAGGCCAATAGCCTTGGCATGGGAAACATGCAGGAGCCGTGATTTTAACACTAGGAGAGGGATAATGAGAAGAGGCTGCGGCTTTGCTTTCTCCCTGCCCTGGAAGCAATTCAAGGATGTGGGCTTTCCTAGATGCCGGCATTTAGCCAGAGTACAATAATAAACACAGGTCATATGTTGTGCTATGCAGCCTGTGCCATCTGTTGAATGTGCAAAGTTTCCCCATTGGTTTGTTTCTATCTTTACATTCTTGAACATATAAGAAGTTATTATGCCAACAGTGGGGATGAGAGCAGTGTTGTCAACTAACACAGCTGACCTGCAAAATCAAAGGCAACGGCAAAATGCGTATACTGTGAGATGTACATATTTTAAGGGAGAATATCACACAATCAGAGTTTCTCAACATAACTGATTATCTAATAAATGCCATGAGAACTGCAGAAATACTCTTCTAAGACAGTCTCTAGCACATTATTGTAGCTGCATAGAATTTTTCAGTATGAGGACTTACAAAATTTGGTAAAAATATTTATGTAGTCAAGTTGCCTGGTTTACAAAGCACTTGGAAAAAGCTAAGTTAAGGAACAACTAACTTCCAGAATTTTAAAATACGGAGGATGGAGAAGGGGATGGTGAGCGCAAACAATATTTTCAGGATTGCAATCTACAGAAAGCAAAAATTTTGCATGGTAGGAGATCAGGTAAAACTAACAATTGGTTATTAAAGAAAGGCCATGCAAGCGAAAACAGAGGAAAATTGGAGTAGGACAGTAAAACAACTCTGGAATTAGAGCCAAAGTAGGATGTGGATTAAAAAAATCTATAAAATTCTGGACCAAACTGCTTTTTCCTAGGATAAAGGATGAGCAGGGGAATCTTCAGGAAAAAGGGTCAGTAACGATTTCTAGCAGACCACCCCCTGCCTGCAGTCTGTAAGTCGCAAAGCTGCTTCCAAATATCTTACATGTACCACAGAACTAGAGGATATTATACATATAAATACAGCTCCCTTTAGCATTGTGATTCTAGTATTTTTGGACTAATTCATTGTTGTTCTTGTACACAGCATGCTGCCAAGATGAACAAACTGAAATACAACATAATCCAGTTATGCTATAGAGAAATTATTAAAACACTCATAATTCATTAACGTACTTCTGGAACCTGTGCTTCCTTTCCTGGCTTCTAACTCTGGCCAAGTTCAAATTAACTTCACTGCCTGTCCCCAGATATTATCAGTGTTATATGATATTAAAAAAAAAATTCAATACATAGTGCTCCAAGTTATGAAATAAAATATCTTTGAATTCAGATCTTCCATGTGACAGGATGAGCCCCTACCTCATAGTTACTTATTTTGTTGATACGTATATGGAGAATGGTCACTGGACGTCTCTACTGTAACCTGTTGTTGACCACTGGCTTCCTGCAAATAAAATGGAAGACATGAGACACTAAATTATGCAGCATTATCTGCAATCTGTATTTCCATGTGACTCATGCAATTAACAGTCTTCAAATCTAAAGTCTTCATAACATTTCTCAAGGAGGGTATTCCAAATTTGAGGTGTTAACTTTGCATTGATTTACATTTCAGCAAACAGAGAAATAAAATTATCATGCAAACCTTGAATTTCCTAAGCTGCTTTGATGATAACTAAAAAAAACCCACAAGCCTAGAAATAGAGGGAACAAATAACTGCTAGTATATTTTCTAACTGCAAATGCAAATGAGCATTCTGCTCCTCCCGTTTTGAGGGGAAGCAGGAAGAACAAGATCTACTTACCACGTGTACAAAAACTACCACTTTGGGTCCTGTGATGTGATTGGTACCAGGCAACACAAAGAATTGTAGCTGGACTTTGCACACAGACCCCCAGAAATCAGGGAATTAATTCAGCTGATAGTGCTCTGGCAGACAGTGCAATCAGCTAATTGCCAAAAGTCTTTCTCCGACCCAGGTAGGCAGATACATAAACTGAACCAAATAAGTTCTGGAGTTTCTGGACAAACAGACTTTGAAATGAAATGTTTTTTCTTAAAGGCTCTGGAACAGACTGTCTAACCCTCACTCTCAATACAAGAACAGCAGCATATCTTGTCTAGCTCCTCTGTTAAAGAAGTACTGACTTATAAAAGGGTATAAGGTAAGTTAAAATAGTAGACAAACTATTGTCTACCATCTAGTTATGCTCTTCAACCAGACTTGCAGAGGAGTTTATTAGGCAAATAAGGCACAGTATCCTGAGATGCCAAGGTAAAAGCAGGATTCTTTGCAAAAAGTTACAATCACAGTGTATTGGCAGAGACGTTTGCTCACAGGAAAACTAAATGAAAGATCAAAACTATAATATAACCCCTGTCTTGTTCCTATTGTAAGTTAGGTTCACCTACCCACAAAGTTCACCTGAGCTACGCTCATACAGAAGGCTTCTCCAAGTTCTGTACCGCTAAAGTACAGGCCAGTCTTTGTTATAATACTAGTTATATTAGTTGAGAATAATGACGCTATAGTTTTAATATACGTTGCATTCACAGTATATTGACAGTTACAATGTTAGGCTTTAAATGGTAGTTTTCCTAGCCAAAAAAAAAAAAATCTAGTATCATATTCTTGTCTCTTATCTCTGGTCTTTTATAAAATATACTGACCTCGACAGGAACAGCTGCTGTCTGGACATGTGTATATTGGGGTATGTAGGCTCCTTGCATAGCTGTTGTGGCTGGCATGTACTAGAAAGACAGAGATCATCAAGTTGAATTAAAGCCCTATGTAAACTTCAGAGTATTCAAAATATCTATCATTATATTGTTTAACAGATATTGACTGTTTCCCTAAAGCAATGCACATGAAAGAAAGACTTTTCTGTCTGAAATCAATAGGTTTTTCAGAAAAGTGAAATACCTGTATTGAGAAAACTCAAATTTAGACTTCAAAGACTAGGTAAAATACGTTTCCTTCTCTGTAAATACCAATTATTATATTTTCTTTTGTTAATTCTATTGGCTCAGAAAAGAAGGGTCTTTCAGCTTAGAAGCTAGCCTGTATCTCATCTCCTGGTTTAGTTTCTGTTCCACACTTTGTATTACTTTCTGCAACTCTGATCTGAAGAGTAAATACAACCATTGTTTCTTTTTCAATACCACTTCAGAGTTACCTCCTGAGTTCCTTTCATTTGCTTTGGTATATTTTAATTACTCAATTCCAATTTCTGATCAGCTAATAGACTGAATAAAAACTGCTGTATATGAATTAGAAATTGAGACAGCTCTTAATATTTTATTGGAAGAAAGACTACTTAAAAGATTACTTTTTTCTACGTGCAAGCTACACATGCATACTGCGATCTACAGGCAGTATTTTCTACTTGTGTAACTTGTATTCTGTATTAAATTTCTACGTACTGTTCCAGTACTGCCTAGTGAAAGATGACTCATCTGCTGTGTCAGAGGGCTTATCATGGATGCAGGCTGTAGTGACATGGTGTGGTCCATGGAGGGAGTCAGTACAGCACCCTATTAAAAGAGAGAAAGAAATAAATGGTTTCAGCAACACTCAGATTGTAATCACATTTTTTATTTCAGAGTCTAAGAATGGGCTGTCCATCTCAGGGGATATACCAAAATAACTCTCCTTATTCCCAGGCACTGAAACAGGTCTGGTGCATACTGAATATTCTACTTGAGCAGATGGGTTTTGCACAGTTTGGTAATGGGGTAAGAACTGCATTGACTTCCTATCAAACACGCAACTGATGTACAATGCGCTTGGAATGTCTGCTGAAAACACTTTGTAAAATCTGAGTTTAACCAGATGCTAACTTTAAAGCAAAAATCTGCACACGTTACGAGGTACAGATTCATTTATCTTAAGCTTTGGAATTTCAGGCTTTAGGAAGAAACTTTTATCTCATCTTTAGGAATGGCAGCTTTGGAGGAACATTTGTGTTAGAGGAATTCTACCTGTCACATGTGATGTTCATGCACAAGACAGATCTGCTCTATTTAATGGTTGGTTTCATTAGCATACACATTTTGGAAGAGTGGGTTAGCAATGTGGAGTAAAAGACTGATTCTTTGTCTAAATACTAGCTACTGTGATGACCTTTCTATCACTTCTGTAGCATTTTGTTAATAACTTCATAAAAAGTATATGTCCGATTTTAAAACACTTGAGATTCCTAAATATGGAGGGCACATTCAAAAGGTTTTCAGAGTTATGTGAAATGGAGGGTTATCAACAAATTTCGTTTGATAAACATGTTCTACAAAAACACATTTCCAAATACTTTGTATGACATATGCTTGCAGAAGTGTTGATTAAAATTGATGGAGGCTCAAAACTAACAGAAATACTTGCAGTTTACTGAAAGTCAGTATTTTGAATAAATAATCCTTTAAAAGAAAAAAGAAAAGAAAAAAACCCTACAGAGTATAGTTGGAAAAACAACCATGTGATCACTGTAGATGAAATGAGTCACAGGCACATCAAACACTAAAAGAATTTCCTGTCTGTAGACTGCAGGCTTCTCTGCAAAGCAAATGAGCAAGACAGCACCAGTCTTTGCACAGGCCAAAACTGAACTTAAGTCAGGAATCTGCATCTTTACTTCAGACATGAAATCTCATCTTGTATACCTACGAAACTAATACACCTTCTAGCATTGTAACATAATAACCTGTCTTTCACAGCACGATTTGCAAGATGGTTTTTTTCAAAAATCTGTGTTAAAACCAGTTTTGTATATGTGTTTAACATGAAAAATCACAAATACAACAACAATTAAATGTGTGAGAAAGTGTTCTTGTTCAGTATCTCCTTCTCTGAATGCACAAGTAGAAAACATTCTGCCAAGATCATCTACATTCTACAATCTGCATGGAGCGGATAATTAAAGTCAAGACAATATCCTTTCTATATCTGGAAACAGACGTTTGTTAACCACAGGAGTGCAAATATTAAAGTGCCTGTTATTATTGGTAATGCTCATCTCAAGAAACCTAATAAGTCCCAGATATAATGGTACTTAATTAGCAAATGACATAGATAAGAAGCAAAACATCATAGGAGAGTATAGATTAGAATACCTGACGCTCTGGTAGAGATGCCACAGCCAAAAGTGTAGAGAGACTAGCATTACTCATGAGCGGAGATGCCAGAACAGGCTATGCAGGTTTTCTCAACTGAGTGCCCATAATATAACTTATATCACTATGTCCATCTGTCTTTCACGAATTATCCAGTCTGAACTATCCTAGACCCATTCTAAAACCTTGGATCTTCAATTCCAACTCCTGATAGGTAAATAGCATGCAAAACACTGGTATTTGCAAAGTGCTTTCCATTTAAATAAATTTTTTAAAAAAGTTTCCTCAGGATGCTGACTTGGTAACTCTAATTGTCCTCATCACCTCAATACCCTGAAGGCAACTTTCTTTTTTTCCTAATAAGATGAGGCCCCAATTCAGGTTACTATCTTTGTTTCTCTTTTCATTTTGATCCATGATTTAATAATGATGTAATTGTCAAAACTCTAGAAGTAATTGACCTATTTCCTGTTGTTTAAAGTATGTAAAGCATTTATACAATCAGTAACATAACAATGGAGAAGCATAAAAACTTACTGGGTGCTGCATTATGTATGGTTGAGGCTGCATCCATGAAGGACTCTGAACCTAGAAGAAAATTAGTATTTTATTTTTCATTTTAGTCATTCTTTTCCTGAATACTCCAATTGAGACACAGTAATAATTTAATAAATCATATTAACAAGCCCCCTCCCTTATTTATTCACTTTTTAATGCAATTAGGCACTCTGTGGAGCAACACTGATTTCTATAAAAAGTGCATTTATTGTACCCCTAAATCAGAAACAAGATTTGTAGACAATATACCGCATATATCTTTCAGAACGGTATATTATGTTTTTAGTGCAGGTCTCTGAAACTTCAACAAATACACTGAAAGGGTTCAAACAGATACATGAGATATTTCTGCTGTGTTGAAAATGGAGGCAACTTCTGTCTTTGAAATTCCTCTGGGAAAAGTAATTGGGATCTCAGAAGGTATAGCATCATTTGCCTTCTAGTGTGATCAGAATAAAATAAATTACTGGACTTTCACAAGGGAAAAAGAAACCAGGAATTTTGCTGGACTCTTGTTCCAGGGACAAGGAGAAGATTTAGGAGAACTGTTCTTCTCCAAGACATTGCAGTATGTTACTCCCAAAGCACAGGAAGAGGAGAAGGTTCTAATGAGCATTTCTGCTCTTGCAACCACGTTTTCTCTCAAAAAATACTGTCTATCCCAATACTTAAATTGAGGCAGGATGCCTAACTTTGCATGACAAGGTAAATTAAAAAGATTAAAAGGTAAACTAATAGGTTATATAGTTATCTTAGTCAAAAAGAGCTGGATGCAACAGCTCTTTGAAAAAGTGTGCTGCAAGAAATATGAAAGGTAAGAATGGAAATGTCTGCTTTCCACCTCCTGTAGGTGTGTGGGATAAAGCAGGATTCTGACCTGCACCACATGTGCAGAACTGACTCACTGCTGCTGCTGGACATTTAAAGCCCCTTAAACACTTCTATCATAATTCCCAGAGTCCTGTGAATAGGACAGGTAGACAGACAGTCTTAAAAAAAATCCAGGTGAGGTATTTTCTGCAAGATGGAAGTATTTCTTCCCTCCTTTTGGTACTGACTTTCAAATCAGAGTAGTTTTTTTTTTTTTCTTTTTCAATGAGAAAAAGAACAGACAGGAGTTCAGAAATGGAACACACTTGAACCCTCCCTTTCCTCAGGCAAAAGCGTAATGGCAAAAATACTGGTACAGCCTGACTAAAGCTCTGGGTAATCTACTCATACTATGACAGTAACTGGCTTAGTACTGTCATTTGGGTATACAGGAGCTGCAGAAACAAACAGTAGCCAAAACTTTATTAAATTTGTTTACCTCTAATAAGAATAAATCTAGGAACAGGTTATACCATGCCTCAAAGAAAAAAATAAATAAATCATGCTCTCGTGATACATCCTGTTGTGTAGATGACAGAATGCTGCAGGTTCCAGTGCCAAGGGAACTGTAATGAAGACGTGACTAATGCTCAAATTGTGAAACTCTTCTGGCCAAGAACCTGCTTCCTCCCCAGTACAGAATACTTGAATTTAATTTTCAGTTCCTATTACTGTGGCACTTTAAGCATAATGATGTTAATAACTCCATCCACAATAATTTCAGCTCCATGCCATGTATACTGAAATACTGGTAACAACATTTCTGGAAACATACGGTACTGTGGCCCACCTATCTCAGTAAGCCCAGAAAAATGATATGATATTTCTAAGAAGTATGTTTCCATGACAACCTCCAATTTTTACTTGGATTCTGAATATCTGAGAGTCTTATATTGATAAATAATTTATATTTTAATAAAGAATAGCAGATAATTCTACTGGAATATTTTTCTGGGTAAGAACTTACTGTAATTTTTGAGGTACTGCTGTACAAAGCAGAATGATTCAATATACTGAAAATACAGTACTAGCACTGTCTGCCAAGAGCAAACATTGTGTTGCATAAGTCACCTCAGAAATTAATACAAAATTAATCCAGCTGCCCTTTACCCCAGAGTACACTGTTTTACGCCCTATGTAACACTTTGCTCACACAAGAAGGCATTTAGACCTCCAAACTAATATTAGACAATTCTTCCCCATTCTTCTCACCTGGAATGGGACAGTACGTGGAAATTTCTGCAAGGGAATAGTGACCAAATGGGCCTTCCATGTGTTTTCTGCATGACCTTCTATATGCCTTCTATATTCATTTTCACTCACAGTAAGCCAGAAAACTCAGCACATCTCTCTCACTAAAAAGCAAACAGCCTCTTCTCCTGCCCCTGACATAGAGAGGTAAGAATTTTCCAAATTGAATTAGTTTTGGTTATGTCTGACCTCAGTCACTGATGTTTGCTTTGTCTTTGTTAAACAGTAAAATGCCAAAATAGCTGATCATTTAGATTACACTGGGATAACTGGCAGGTCTCATGTAGTAATCACAGATTTCATACTAATTTCATTAAATTCAAGTTGCTTCCAAGCTGAAATGTAGAATGCCCTAAAACTGAGCATTCTTAAGAGATTTATACCAAAGTACAAAAACTGTTCCATATCATTTCTTAGCATGTTGAATTGTTCATCAATATCCATTAGTGGGGACTCAAGATGACACCTACAAAAATTCCTTTTCTGGAAGCTTTGGACTGGGCTCTAAGAACAAAAAATGTGCATGATTAATGTTTTAATTTATTGTTCAAAATAAAGTAACTTCTGGTTTAGAAACACAGTTCTAGACTATTAAATGTTTTATTCCTCATATGAAAACACTGAATTTGAATGCTAATATAATCTGAACTCTGAACTCTTTTTTCAAATTTTCTTCTCTAGTGCCAAGCAAGTTTCTGCACCCCTCTTAGTACCACTAAGAGGTTATTGTGGTATATGTGTGATAACACAACATGTTATTGTTGGGCTTTTTTTTTTTTTTTTAATTGAAACAACCTGGAGAAAAGTTCAAAAAGCATGGAGAAATATATTTGAAATAGAATTTAACTAAATCAATAAGGTTTTAAATAAAGAATAATTATTTTAAAAACAGATTATTGACATTAAAATTGACCAGGAAAAAAAAGAAAAATCATACATGAAATGCAGAAGTGGCTACAAATACCTTAGCCATCAGCACAAGTCACAGACTTTGTTTTGCAAGACAACACATATCTCATTAAACTGCTACGCTTCCTGAAACAAACACACATTTAGTTTTTAGGCTTTCATTTTCATGCTGTACAGCATGAAAAGGCCACTTCATTAAGATGAAGCATTACTGGAGAATTCATAAAGCCAGATGTAGCAATTGATAAATAAAAGTAAGCTTGAATAAATCATTTCAGCTACTGAGTTCTAAATACAAACCTGGTATGTGGAAACTGGAGAAGCAATATATGGCGTAATAGATGTCTGAGTGATCATTCTGTTTGCTGTAATACTGTAGGGTGATGGATAAAATCTAGAAAATGCAGAAATATTTATTAAATGCCAGTTCTGTGCATCTTTCATAATGCAAACTTTTTTTTCTTAGTGTGCCATTATTTAACATACCCATTTTGTAAAGCAGCTGTGGTTGGATCATAGGTGAGTGTCATTCCAGCCTTTAAAAAAAAAAAAAAAAAGTGGAAAGAAAGAGTTGACAGAATTCATATTGATTGTAAATTATTTTGTTTACTCTTTCTTTAGTTGTATTATTTTTAACTGAAAATATGTATTGAAATAGTTCATTACTGTAAGTTAGGTAAAGTTTAATTGACAGAAATAATTATATAGTGAAGAGTGTCAGTGATATTGCCTGTGAATCCAAGTTTCCAAGTTCCCAGCATGAGGAACAAAATGCAGGCTATAAAATACTTGTCTAAGAGAACATGTGTGTTTTTGAGAGGCAGGGCATGAAGATAATTATTTTAGGGTGTTGCTTACAATATATTAACTACAAGAATGAATGGGGAGTGCTGTTTTTCGGAAGACACATCTGAATTTTCTAGTCTCATATAAATGAGGTGTCTAGGCTTGCTAACCACAGTAAGCCTATGAAACTATTATCTTGAACATTAAAGAATAAAGCTGTAACTAAAAAAAAATTAATGCTGCACTGCATTGGTATACTGTTTTCATCTTATGAAAATTATGTGCATTTCAGTGCTGCATAAATCAAGGGATTATTTACTACATGTAAATAAAGTTACGTTTCAGGTAGTTTTATAAAATGAGAAATATCTCAGGCATATTCTTGACCAAGTTGAAGGAGACTTTATTGTTAACTTTAATGAGGTAGGATTTAGCATTTCACATTTTGCCTTTTTTCCTCCTTAAGAAATATATAGTTAAGTATTTTACAGAGCTGCAAACTGTCAGGTAAGAGTTCTTTGCACATTTTTAATATGCCAGAGAGCTAAGCCAGGAAGTCTCAATGCTTATCATTTTCATAAGCATTCATTATTGTACACCCACACTAAAGCTTGAAGGAAGGACTTACAAGTCTCACCTCGCCTTCTCTGTGCCATGCTCTTCCATTCTGTATATATTTATTCTGATTCTGTCTCTTTTTCTGTCCTCCATCAGCAAACTTGCACAATAAAGGTTCTGCAGGAACTGAGAAGAAAGGAGGAATATTAGTTGAAGTAGCTTGCATACACAGGTGTTCAGCACTCCAAATGAGGTATGGTTTTTACATTCCCAATATGACGGTTAAATAACACGGACACTACAGCACCAATGATTGTTCGGCATAGCACAAAGACAGCTGCCACACACAAAGAGAGCATATGGAATGCCTTATAGCTTTGATTTTAAACTACGGCTCCAAAGCCTGCTGGAAAGAAACATGGTATGTATATCCTGAGTACGTGTCTGGTGGTCTGGGGATGAATGACAACTGCCATCTGAATTCTGAGTTTTGCACCTTAGGAGATACATCTAAGGAGGGTGGAGAATAAATCTGGCCAAAGGCCTTTAATATATTCCCCCTTCCCCTTAGAGGTTTCAGTATGTCCCAAAACATAAACTGCTCTGCTTATCCAGAATAGCCAGAAAAGCTGGCACAGTTCCTCCACTTACTCTAACCAGCAGGGTGGAGTGCATACCTTTATCTCCTGCCACCTCGCACAGAAAAAATGCCACAACTGTCCATTCCCTTTTTATCCCTGCTCTATAAATACCACACAATACAACCAGAAAGTCTTCAAGATTCTTCTTTTATCTTGTTTTTTTGCATACTGTCATCAAATGGTATAATTACACTTTTTTTTTTTGCATAATGTAATGCTGACCATTACTTCAATTTTTAATGTCAAAATTGAAGCAATGAAAAAGAAAAGTTTGCATAGTATTCTTTCCCTGTTACTAGCTTAAACTGCAATAGTTTCCAAGTATCAATGGCTGAAGCACAGCTCTGCTACATCACACCACACCCTTCCTAATCACAGGGTGGAAGCATTGTTATGACTTGGATGTGAACATTTCTCTGCCAGTAATTCCCGATACATAAACTGTCTAAGCTTTACCATTACATTCTTCCAGTCATTCTGTTTGCAAACACCTTCATGAGACACAGCTGGATCTGAAAACATGGAAGTTTCCAAACACAGATTAAACACATGGAATGGGAGGTCCACTCGCAAAGAAACAACCCCAAGAAAAATTTTAGCATATCTGTATTGTGCAACAAAATCTATTAGTATAACCATGGCCAGTGCTGATATGCCCTTCACTCTGTCTGCATTTACAAAAGGTGATTGGTATTGAAAACCTCAGAGACTTGCAACCTAGCAGAGAGTTTGACTTTTAAATCTATGTCACAAAACTAGCCCTAATGGCCAAGTCATCCTGGGCTTGGATGGCATACCTAAAACACTAGCTCTTGTTCTACTGGGAAATAACCATCTTTTGACAGCCTTCTCTATGAAAGATGGGTGGACTGGGAGATAGAACTGGTACGTGGCTCCCTGTCTCATCTACACATTGACCACATCCGTCAGAGACGTGTACCTCTCCTACCCATGTGCTGTTACTCAGCGGTCAACTTCAGTACCAGAGAGTCAGACTTTAGTATTAAACATGACAACTGAATTAATGTAAAATGTATTATTTTACAGAGAATGGTAATTAAAATCCTATAATCATAAAATAAACCAGGGAAAGGCTAGGCTAATGACACTGGAAAAAAGTACTGGAGACCTATGGACAGTGCAGTAAATGCATAAGGAAATAACAGAAACCCTAAAGTAGGAGACAGAAACTAGAGATAATTGTCTTCAAAATCTTGCATTTCTGAGGGCATTCCCAGAATTGAGTTTTGCTTTGAGGTCTTCTATCATGAGAAGCAACTTCTGTCTTGGCCTATTTGGGGCAAAAAGGTACTGTATCAATTGCACAGCGAGGAAAAAAAATCCATCAGAAAGGGAGAGCTCAGATCCAAATACTGAATTTAATTGTCTTAAATGAAAAAAAGCTCTTCCCCAAGTTGAGTATCTTCAGCTACTTATAAATTATTTCCAGCTATCTAGTGTTGTGGGAAGCATGTGTGACTTCCAAAATACACACTATAAATTTTTGAATGAAGTCAAAAGAAACTGGCAAGAGAACAGATTAGATAATGAAGACATCAGAAAGTACTGAAATGTTTTTAGCACTGTGATTTGGTATTGTAACACTCACAGGTGGTAAATGCTTTATTTAAAGCTGCATTATGCTTTCATTAAAAATTCCCATAGTTAATTCTACCAAACTTTTCTAAAATCATTATTTGTGCTTATATTCCCCATCATTGTCTCAAGATAAAGATCATTTTTTTAAAAAATTCAGGGTAAACCTGTCCAACTGTTTGAATAAAATGTTCATAAAATCTATTTAAGAATAAACTATTTTGTTTGTTTTTGTCACAAGATAACTGTAAACAGTTAAATTTTAAATTATGAAACATCTTCTGTGGTACACTGGAAACACTCTCCTAGCAAATTTAAAGAGGAAGGAAAAATTGAACAAGAATTATCCACGTGTATTGGATTTTGAATATGTAATATCCAAAACCTGCAGCAATGAAAAAAAAAAATTAAAAGGCATTATTTTGTGATTTGCCAGACACTGGTGCTCAACACAGATCTGGTCATGGGAACTTTTGTTTTTCTGACCTTCCAAGCTTCTCTTGCTCCTCACTGTGTCCATAAATGAAGCCAAATGCTGTGAAAGCTCCAACTCATGCTAAAAAAATACGAAGCAGACCGTCTATTTAGCACTGCCAACTGCTTTGAGAAGGCTCTATAGCATTTGCCTTCCCTGATTCCAGTTCAAGATCTGAACGCTGATAGTAGGGACTGCTGCAACTGAAAGCATAACTGCAATTTTTGGCTCATCTTCCATGCTTTTGACCAGAGTACTACTGCATTCATTGCTTCAAGAACACAATGACTGATGGTCATCAGAAGGCGGGTCATGAGAAGGAGATAAACCTTCATGGGAGCCAAGTATGATCTATTGATCTGCCCTCCCACCAAGGAATGAACATAGCCCTTACTTTCTTCAAAATTAAATCTGAAATTTATTTATTCATCTTACCTTTCCTCATATTTTCCACATATACATAAGATATTCTCTGTCTTACACGTAAAAACACATATATAATAGATATCTATATAAACAAAGAACTCCAACAAGCCCTACAGACCAGTCAAGCAACCTTTTTTGTGGTCCAGGAAGGAAGGGAGAGTCATTTTTATAGTTTAATTGTTGGGAAGTGTGCAGACCCAGTGGTGAAGGGGATCATTAATCATTCAGTAACTTGTCTGTGTATGCAAGACAGAGAGGCATAGTATAAATATTCGGAGTTGCGTTTACAGCTGTAAGATAGCTGATGTAAAAGGCTATGACTTACAGTGGATTTATGCTTCTGCAGCTAAGACAACATGTTTAAAATGCCCACCCTACTGACACTTAATGAAAACCAACACTCTCAATGGTTTGTAGATGTCTGTTGAGCTGCTGCCACAACAGTGTTCTGTAACTGTGAGCTTTCCTGTGCTTTAACAGCAAGTTGGCACTTTAAAACCTGGCTTTAGAAAGCACTGACCATCTTCCCCTGCCCTGAATCACCCTCCTCTAGGGCTAATGTTTTCACAGAAGAAAGATGTGAATACAATATTAGTTCAGAGAATAAATACTGCCTTGTTGTACATGTTTTGCACATGTGTACATTAGAATTCAGACTTTGTTTGTTCAGTGTCTACACAAATACACACCAGGTTATACTATAAATGCAAGAACAAAATTGATGTTCTTATGCTGGACTTCGTGTTTACACCCTTGACTTTAAATGGCTGATTATATCACCTTTTCATTAAACCCTGCTTTAAGATATTAGAAAATACAACAAAATAGTTTTAAAATACTATTATTTTAATCAGTCTTCAATTAAAACTTTTTTTGTTTATTTTAGTGACTTTCATTTCTTATTTTCTAGTGACAAAGTATATGGGACTAATGAATTCTGACATTAAAACATCACTCTAATGATAAGCATGTACAGCTAGAAACTTTTGCTAAAAGCTGTGGGAATTAAAAAAGAAGTTGTGCAACCCAAGATCTCAGTAGCTTTGTATGTCTAAAGAGAAACAACATACATACTCTTTGTCATCCTAATCTTCACTTAAATGCAGTGCTCAGGGTTACATTTCTTTAATAGTTTACATAGGGTTTAATAATTTGTCACAGGAGTATATTTTGAGTTTTTAAACATTATTCTTCTCTCTATTCCAATGTTGCCTCTTAAAGCTAAGCAGTAATTACAAACTATGAGAATTAGAGCAGTACAAGGTTTTAATTGTTGACCTAATGGGTAAAATCTTGGTTCCTCTGCCTTCAGCATGACAATCAGGAATAATACCAGAACCGTGACCTCTTGGTACCCTTTAGCAGTGGTTTTCATGATGTGGTTCATAGATTATTTCTAAAGGATCTGTGAAAAATAACTAAGAAATGTGAGTTTATGGTCAAACGACAACTTCCCTATGATACTTTGTAAAGGTGAGCAAATAGAAAAAAATTGAAAATTACTACCACAAGATAAATACTACAAGGCTCCATCTTCATTCCTTTCCTGAACTAGAAAGGCGTCCAAGATCAGAATAATTTCAAACAGAAATGTCTATTACACCTGGTGGACCTCTTTCTGGTTTGTGGTCAACAGTGCAGGCAGGAGCAAGGTTCTCACACCCATCTTCAGTTTTTTCCTTAAAACAGAACCTGAGTGACCAAAATCTTTTCCGTAACTGGGAAGAGGAGGGTGGGTCATGGATAATCTATGATTTTTGGGTCATCACCGTAACTCACAATTCCTGAGCAAAAATGGTGTGGGCTGCTCAGTAAAAATGCTCTCTACCTTACCTCCATTAAACCAAAATTACCCAAGTTATCTTTCAGTAAAAGAAGTATTAAATAATCCATAAAGCCTATACAACAGGCATAAAATTTTTGTAATCTTTTAACTTCTATATTTTTCATTTTAAATGTAAGAGAGACAAATACACTCAGACCTACACATACTTTATGTATTCTACAGCACAACTGCTTTATATAATTATTTATATAGTTACTCTCATGTATCATCATGCAGCTACATGCTGTTGTGATAGGGAGGAGATGCCTTTCATGATTTTGCCCCACAGATCACTTCTAAAATTGTTATGGGTCCAACACAAGACAAGAAGACAGCAAACACTAAGTATCATCTTTAGGCGAGAAAGGCTAAGTATGCTGCTCTGTTTTCACTACTCATCTTGTGCATCCTGGCTCCTTATACCAGTTTCTTGTTTCCTCCAATTCACATCATGAGGTTCATGTTTCAGAGGAGAATAGAAAAGCTTTAAATATCACATTATTCACTGAAAACAGTAATTCTTTAAAGAGAAAAGTAGAACTAAATGCAAAAGTTTCAAGATCATAGCAATCATACAATAAACATACAGTAGATAAGAGAATGAAATACAAAAATCCTGAGAGAAATGGACAGAAAGTCATAGTCCGTAAAACCAAACAATTACATTAATTTACATAACAAAAGTACAAACCCCAACCAGAACAAGTAGTGAAACTAATCTAGGAGTTTTGAAATATACCAACTTGCAGTGCATTTGAAATTGTTCTGTGAGCTAACCTTCCTTCTTACTGCCTCTAGACAAACAAGGGCACACTAAATATTGAATATATTACATTAAGCTAATATATATGGAGCAGAGTAATAAAGCCTGAATAGCTTGTTACACCAGGGTGCAGCTTGCTCAGTATCATCAATGCCCAGTGACTCACTCAATTCTACAGTTGCTTTTGTGACCGCCCTGTGCTACACTCGGCCCTCTTGGATTCATAGAGGTTTTTCTGTTCTGTCTTCTCATGCTCCAGAGGAGGTTTCACTTATGCTTCCTATAACTGTTTAACCCATTCTTCTATTTAAACCCAAACTTAGTTAAAAGAACAAAGCTGCATTATGAAAGCATGTTTTTGTTGAACAGATGTTCTTCCTCCCACACCTATTTCATTACAGGCCCATCTCTCCTACCCTCCTCATCCTGATAACAGCATTTTTATAGCCAGCTCCCCTTGCTGATTTTAGCCAAGTTTCTAGGACACAATGTTTTAATTTAAACATAGTTCCAGTTCTGTAATTTTATTTTGCATGTATTTGAACTTGCTCCTCTATAACCCCACAGTATGCTAATCTATTTCAAAACATTTTCCCAATCTTTGTTTGTCCAAGAGCTTTCCCACTACACCCACTTTTCCCTGTGCAAGTAGTCCAAGACCACAGTTGTCCCATGACTCAGCCCCACTTTTTGGCAGACTGCAGCATATTATTATGCATAAGCTGCATTCTCTAATAAGACTGCATTACTGGACACATGCTTGCTATGTGGTGAGGAAGTCCAGGAAGAATTTGAACTTTGTAAAAACCTTTCCAAGGACCAATACAACTTCACAGCACCTGCATGGAAAAGTAGCACTGGGGCTGTACCCTATACAACAAAATTGAGAGTCTTTAATAAACAAGGTTCTCACAACTCCCTTATGCACCTACTTATCTGTTGCATTTTTCAGCATCATGCAGGGTGTGACTTATCTGACTTTCAGACATTTAGAGTTATCTATTTCTGACTCATCTAGATGCTCTTTGTAACTGCAAGGATAGCTGACAGCAAAGGTACATCAGTCTCTGGAGGTGTGTCCTTCTTTACCTATTTTAGACAGAGAACCTAGACAACTACTTTACCAAGCAAGCAAGAGAAGTTAGAGTTTGTCAGGTGGATTACATCTTGAGACTCCTCTTTAGTTTCCACTTTCTGATAATCACCAGTTCAGTGCAAATTTCTCATCTCTGATTAATCACTCTTTTCTGGTAAATGTTTTCCTCCACAATGCAGAAATCTTTCATAAAATTCCATGTAGCAACTTTTTATTTCTACCTTGTTGAACCTGATCATATAAGGGTTCAACTCCAGCTTCAGCAACGGCCCACCAGAGACAGAGCATGACTAGCAATGACATGCTTGACAGCTCATTCATTGAAAACAGGATAATGCAAGTGAAAATAAAAATGAGCGAACTAAAAGCACTAATAGGAGGTTCTGTTACAGTTTTTTTTTACTGGCTCTAATTGAATAGAAACCCCTAGGTGTTAATTTGAACTCTTGGTTTCTCCATACTTCTTACTCTTAATTGTGTCCAAGTCATAGCAGCACTACAAAACTAATCCCGGAGGGTGGATCAGAGCACAGTCAGCATTCAGAGAGAATCATTCCATGATCTCCTTGCCCCTAAAGGATTTTCTATCTCATAAAACACAGCTTGCTAAATATATGAAATAGAAAAGTAAATGTTACAGCCCCTATGCATAACAAAGTTTTAACTAAATAATCTCGGCGATCAAGAGCAATGCAAAGGGTCTGCGAAACCCAAGCCAGGGAAGTCAAAACCCTGAGTAAGATTAGTGTTGGTGAAGGGAGTGGTTTCCTGTGCTCTGAAGCAGCTTTCCATCCCTACCGCAGCACGGACTTCCTCAAACTGGAGTAATCTTTCAGAGATGAGGCATGTATGCAGTTTTACTAAACAAGTCACATTCTTGTCTGCCTGCTGAGGGCTGCTTTCTTCCTCCTCGGTGTCAGGGTCTGGCTGTGGAGAACACTTCACTAACGGGACAAAGGTGGCTTCAGTAACCACATCAACAATGTAATTTGTAAAATTCCCACTTGGGATTCTCAGTAAAATTGTTACTGAAAGCTGCCTGGAATGTTAGGCACCTATTTTTTCCTCCTTTTTTGCCCTCTTTTTTTTTCTGTTTCACTCTACTGCTCTGAATTTCCTTTCCTCATTTTTAAGTGTTTATGGAATATATATTTTGTCTCTTAGAAACAGTGCTGACAAAGCAAGCAAACTAATGGGGAACTTGGTGTGACAACAAAATTGCATTATGTAGCTTCTCTGCATTTGCCTTGAACAATATTTCTAGAAGTAGCATTATTTGTTGACCTGTTTCCATCTTCCTGAAGAACCTCAAAGTCTACTTTTACTTCAGAGTTGCAGCTCTTCAATGAAGGAAAGTGACTGGCATTAAGATACTGCTACAGAATCTATTTTTTTCTCATCAAATCTTTTTTTTTGAAAATTACTTCAAAAAAATCACCAACAGATGGCAAAAGTAGTCCATTTTTTGCCTCTTAAAAAAAACCTGTCCACAACAATCAGCCAAATTCTGTCCTGATACACATACAACACATACTTGTCTCCTGACTTCAACTGGGATTATGTGGGATGCAAATTTGCACATAGCTGGTTTAAAGCATTTTAGCTGCTTGTCTGTCTCTAGAAGAGAACACTACTAGATTCCTAGAAAAGGTTTACAGTAGAAAAGTGATATACTCTTCCAAGTGAGCAAGTATTACAGTCATCCAGCAAGGCACACTTTAATTTTAATAAGCCTGCCTCTGAATGAGAAGCCAGATACAACAATCAGTGTAACAGGCTTCCACTATGTAAGCAGTAACCCACCCATTCATATATCTTGTTAGAAATATATGCAACATACCAGAAACTCCTGCTGGTGTCTTTATGAATTTTCCATTAAAATGAGCAATCACTGCTTCACATTTTTCTGTTGACTCCATTCTAAGAAAATAAAGAATAATTTACATAAATTAAACACTCACCCAGATTCCCACGTTTTTTATTTTTTAAGCATCTTTCTTGCTTTTTCGCACTTCATTTTTGTATCTTGCTTTCCCATGTGTGAGCAACAGAGAGGATGTTCTCTAAGAACACAACTTCAGAAAGGTAAAACTAAACTCAGTTAACATTTCATGCATTCCGAGACCAAAGACAGTGACAAGCTGCAAATACAATACCCTTATTTACTTAGAAATTAACATAATTGGACAGTTACAGTACAAAGTATCTATGCTGTCTTGAAGGAAGCACAGAACTGATCCACAATCATTCACAACTGAATCCTTAGTGTCAGTGATATACACAACAAATGTTAATACCACTTTTGATAGATTCTGAAGTGTCTGTACAGATTAAAAGTAAAATTCAAATAGAAACATGCCTGACCACACGACCCAAACTGCCTTTGCAGCTTTTAGCTTACATGTATCATCCCAATTAAATGATGCATCTGATTCTTATTCAATTGCCTCCAAGTTACCTTCAAAACAGGAACCAACAACAGAGCAGCTGTGAAAGCTACTGAAGAATTTATCCAGCATCCTGAACAGGTTTGTGCACTTATGTTGTCAAAACTAGACTTAAGAGACTGGGTGGACTACTGGTGAGCTGTGCTAGTCTGGGAGAGGCTCCCTAGGTTGCAGCTACATCCTTGCATTGCAATGTAGATGTGTCAGTCCTAACTGCTAGCTTGGACTAAGTCGCAGCAGATGACAGAGACATGCAAATAAAATAAAATTTATTTTAAAAGAAGAATGTATTTTGCAGCTATCTGAAAGGTGATATTTGGATATTGTTGAAAAGAGATTTTCTTTTTATTTGCTCATTAAGTCCTGTTACTCAGATCCACAAATTAGGCCAATGGCCTCAGTAGCAAGAAGCACTACTAAAAATTACTAAGCCTGGGCACCTTTATAGTTCTGATAGTCTTTCTCCACATGCCAATGAAGTATAGTCATAGACAACAAGCAAAATCACCAAAATGCCAGACTGAACAAGAAGTTTTTATTCATGGTTTCAAAAATACCTTCTAGAGAATATTCAGAAGTTCTGGATTGTTGGATCTGCATCAAAGAAATCTAATTTTTTTTTTGTCTTACTTGAAACAATATAATTTGGTCTCAGACTCAAGTCAAGACTTGATAAAACATATTACCCTTATTAACCTAATAAAATGCTCCCAAAGGCAAGAAATTAAAATTTTTATTTAATGTCTACATGTTTCTTGGACACTTTTAAATTTAACAAGTATTTTTCCAAAAATGTTCCAATACCTACCTTGCAGAAGGGGAGAAATTCTGATTAGATATGACAGCAGCAGCTTATTCCATAGATTATGTATAATGTATGTATGTGAATTTTAAAAATGGATATAATTTCACATTTATGTATATATATAAAACTTATAATATGTAATACACAACCTATCAAGAAAATATTTACATTAAAACTAATCTCTTCTAATGACTTCAGTACAAGCGAGGTTTTGGATATACACAAGTCTTTTGGACTTTTACATACAATTCTGAAACTCTTCTGGTTATATTAGAGTAAAAGTGTTCCTAAAATACCACTGATTCAAGGTAGAGTCAGTAAGCAAGTTTAGGGAGAAAAGATTGAATAAATTCATAATGCCCACTGAATTTTAGCTTAGTTAACAGAATCTATCCTTCATAGTACCAAAAAGTGTAAGTTGCATTTAAGCAAGTATCAGTACTTTTTTAAATTAGTAAATTTAACTTTTGGATAAATATTGATTTATACATCATTCAAAAATACCTACACACATACTGAGTATACTTGTATGGAGTTCACACTCAAATACTTATGCATATGTTTATATGAAAAAAAGAGACAAGTGTATGAATGAAGTGAAAATGCACAATTAAATTTACACCAAAAATACTACTAATTATTAACTTTTTTAAAGGGGACAGGAAGAAATTTTGGTAGAAACCAAACTTGCTGGTTTTACACTCTGAAATAACAATATCATCCCATTGTTTCTAATTTTGTTCCTTTGTTGTATCTTCTTGAAACTGGACAGTCTGCCAAGCAAATAAATTTGGGGGTGGGGGTGGACGAGGGTTTTTAAAAAAATTAAAAAAAATTCATAGTGCTGTGAACTACCCATAGCCAACTCACAGGGAAACCAATCCCTAAAAATTTTGGCTTTATCAGGAGCCAAAATCAGGAGATATAATTTGTCCACTTCTTTTCTGTGCATAAATTTTAGATTCTGCTATTTGTTCAAGTACAGAGCTATTGTAAAACTGGGTGAACATCTGCATTACTGGAATCTGACTGCTGACAGAGATTTTATGACATATTTTGAGTTTCACAATTCTTTGCTCAAAGTATGGCCCTATTTTTGATAATAGAAATCTCCAATCTGAAGCCTCCAAATTTCGATTGCCATACTAGGTCTAAAGCAGGACTTAACGAGAGATAGAAAAATATTAGAAAGGCACAGAAAAGGCTTTGATGAAGAGATTCCAGAAGAAATACCTAAATTAACTAAAGAAAAAGTAGACTCAGATGGACAGAATATTTGGGAGGTATCTACTAATTTATGGAAAATATTTGTTCTTGTTGATTTGGGAGAGATATTTGACCAAACTGTCAAATATTTTAAGGTGAGATTTACTGTAAGTGAATGAAAATATTTTCTTTCCCAGATGACAACATGTCAATGAGCCAGAAAATTCAAAGGGCTGATGTTCAAATAGCAATGATGAGTTGATTTTCTCAGAGGAACTAAGGAAGAAAAATAAATAATTTTTTTAAAAGATGGGGGCAGGAGGAGAGAGGAGGAATTCTTCCTTACAGCCTCCTGTCTCAAATTCCAATCAGAAAAGCCAGAAATGTCACAGAAGTTTCTATGACTGAAATACCTTGCGAAGCCAACACCACGGCTTGTCCCACTTGAGTCCCGCAGTATCCTCGTGGAGATAACCTGTCCAAACGGTTTAAGCATGTTCTCAAGCTCCTGCTCATCCATTGAAAGTGGCAAATTGGAAATATATAAGTTAGTTGGATCTTGTTCTTGTTGCTGAAAGAGAATTAAAAACAATAGTTATTGCTGGTTTTATTGGAAAGACATTTTGAATATAAAACATAATAACAATTACATATAACTACTAGTACAGATTTTTATTTCTCAGGCCCCTTTCTAAAGACTGTTCTTCCCTAGCATTAGTGACCTCCATCTTCTGTCACTGTATACAGCATTCCTGAGAGAGCTTCCCTCCACCTATTACTGCTCACAACAACATATTTAAGTGGAGATAAAGGTGAATAATTGACCACTTTATAGTCCATATTACAACTTCATGCTTCAGAGTTTTCTAAAAGAAAAAAAAAGGCAAAAACAAGATAAAGGAAATAAATTAGCAGACAAGGAAATACAAGACTGGTGGAAAGTGTAAAAAAGCCAGATGTAAATTAAAAAGAGAAAAGATTAGAATGACAATTTGAAAATAATACGGGGAAAAAAGGAGACAATGCATTTAAGAGTATACATATTGTCGAAATATTACCACAAGAATAAGGTGATACACTCAGAAGTGAGTGGGACATTGTTGTCTTCTCCCATACATGAACATTTTTGAGTTTTCATCAAACTTTCACATTACACATTCAGATAATACAAAAGTCTTCTGAAAACCTTCTCTAGAAACAGACAAAATGACAGAGGAGGGCTGCCAGGAGATGAGTGATCAGGGAGCAGACAAATGTGGACACATCTTTGCCATTCCCCTGACCTTAGGCTATCTGCTTTGTGTGATCTATGTATATGCCACAGAATTCCTTCCCAATCAAATAAATATTTTTGTTGAAATTGATCATTTCCTGTGTTTGTCTACAGATTCTCCAGCTGTGGTTAGGGAGCATCTCTCTCATACTGGTAATTGCTGACCATGCTCCATGATGAAATACATTCTTAATTTACACAGATCTATATGACTTGGCCCTTACAGTTGTGAAAAACTTCAATGCTGTCATTGTGGCTCCCTGTATAGATCTAAGTCTCTGCAGGATGCATTATATTCAGTAGAACTTTTTTGGCACTAGGAATGATACAATCTGAAACAAATACAATTTTGTTGGCATAGTCCTAAGCATATTTTCATTCTGTATAAGAGGGTTAACTGACTTGTGGGTAAGTTTGAATCAAACCAGATAACAAAAAAAAACCCCAAAACCATAACATTTTTTACTGGAATTAAAGCATGCATTAAAGTGGTTATAGCTGTACAAATGGTGACACCTGCTTATTCAGACTAGGTACCAATTTGTCCCTAAGTTGCCCTTATATTAACAACATCTCAGTACCGTTGGTAGCATATTGCATAATTTAATAACTTGTTATCCTGGATATCACCTCTCAGTTGGAGTTGCTTTTCCCTAAGACAAAAAAAAGAAAATGAGTTGGGGCTGGGGGAGGAGGTCATGCCTTTTAGGCACAAAAATGAATTCTCATGTTCCAAAAAGTAATGAAACCTAAAAATGGGGAAGCAAATTCTATGCTTATGGACCTTCACTGTTTGCATTTTTACCCCAAGTCTCACTTTCAATTAGAAAGAGCTAATGTTTTAAAGTTTTCTGTAAGGGTTTTTTAAGAAATGTCAGCATCAAAGGACCTATAAAAGGGAAATGTGCTCCCATTACGTCCTCCTGATCTGCACACTGTGCCACTGATACGATTGTAATCCCTAGCCACACTGAAATCCCACATACCTTACAAAACACAAACTTTTCCAAATGCCCAAGTGTTGTCCTCAACAGTCCCTTTACAGTCCCTTACAAATGGCATTTGACTACCATGTATGCTTTTCCTTTTATTATCTAGTGGGAATATCCCCCTCACAAAATAATACTGCATCTCTACAGCGCACATCAAAGTTTGTGATATAAATTGTCTTAGAATATCTGACTTGTCTTTCATATTAGAAAGATCAGCTGAAAGAGAAGACAAGAAAATGGATTCACTGCAAGGTCAGAGCTGATTAATATTCATTGCTTGCCAGCGTTCAACCATGAGGGAAAACCAGTGTTACAGTAGTTACACCTTTGACATACAGTTCAAATTTCCTCAGGCAGGAATGTGAGATGAAAACAGCTTTCACATTTTTAGAATTAGTTTGTTACTTAGATTCAATTAGACAATTTTGTTTTGCACCTTGAGATATGTAGGCTTACTTCTTTCTTTAATGAGTACTATTAGCAAAAGCTTTACAGGAGGTTTTAGCCATGGATATTAAAAATTGCATTTGTCGCTATAGCATAATTTCCTGAAGCTCCAAATAGTATTTGAAAGGGAAATTTTTGTATTTTTTACTTTTTATTCTAAGCTGTAAAATATATTGCACACAAATATACTAAAACCTCCCTAAAGTGAAACAGTATAAAAGCTGGAAAATCAGACCCTTTGCATACTTTTATCTAATTTGATAATGTTTTTATCCTACAATAACAGAAAGTCTGAATTATATTATTAAAATGTTGTCATTAAAAAGCCTAACAACATTTGGAAAGATAAAAGAAGGCCTCATTTTTTCACACTAATAAAAATGTAATATACATGTAAAAAAAATTATTACATTCAGAAAGACCTAATAGAGAAAGAAATTCAGTCAACTGCAGAACGTCAGAGCAATCTGTTTTATTCGGGTAACGGGAGATCACATTCCCCTTCTTTTGGGCTAATATTCCAGCCTAGGGGGTTAGCACACTTTTGCATTCTAATGGCAGTGTATTCAGGATGAGAGGTCATGAGCTTTCCTTGCCAAAAAGGACACGAATGCCTACTGCAATTCACTGTACCACTTTTAAGATCTTCCTCTATACATGCTGGGAAGCTCAATTCTTGTACCTACCCACCTAGCAGAGAAAACTTCGTGTCATAAAATCACGTAACAATGTTGTTAGAGAAGGGAGTGCTTTACTTCAAAAGAGTATTAGCAACTTTACCACTAACCCATGTTGCAAATCCCTTGGGAACAGAGGGGGAAAAAAGTGCATCTGAGGAAATTGTTTTAAGGAAATTGCTTTCTCTGAACAGAACACATTTTGTGATAGAAAAATTTGACTTGCATCCCGTAATACCAATTGTATTTTGTATTGGTAACTAGATTGGGTTTTGGTCAGATGCATGCTGTATGCGTGACTGGAAAGGACTTGCTTCTGCTTTCCTGACCCTTTCTCTTTGCCAGTCTATATAGCTTGAATACTCCCAGGAATTCAGATACTTCTACTTTTGATTCTTCAACAAGACACACTGACCACAGTGGAAAAAGGGGAGTTTGAAGATACTCCTACATATGTCCATAGCTAGAACTGGCAAAGATAGCAGACATGGGAGAGGAATAGCAAAAAAGCAGCCAACGGATGAGGATGTCACCAAATCCTGGAATACAGCTGAAACTTCATTCATCTGTAGTTCTCACAGAACAAAATAGTTGAAATGCCAACAAACACATTCCACAGTACACCAAGGTAGTGTCTGCACTGCAGATGCAAACCCACAGTCGCCCTGAGAAGTGGCAACAGTTCAGCTATAAGGACAAATCATAGAATCACAGAACATCTCAAGTTGGAAGGAATCCATAAGGATCATCAGGTCCAACTAGGTCAGGATAGATTAATTTAATCCATTACTCCACTTTGCAGGAAAAAAAGAGACTGTCATTGGTTTTCAAAAGAGCTCATTTACAATACTAAGAAAATAACGTTGGGGTAGACCTAAAGCAAGATTCAACTCTTTCTAGAGTGTATTTGGAATTTTATACAGTTTAGCAGTAGAAAAGAGATACCTATCAATGTGCAAAACACCTTCTCTCCTCTTGTCACTTACTTATGTCACCATGCAGTTTCTGTCATCTGCACAAGACTACTAAACCTTAAAACAGCTGCCTGGGTACATTTTGGGAGATCATAAGCAGCAAGTCATTTCCTCCCCCTTGGAACGCGCTGGATTTCCAAGCAGACTTCCAAATGGCAACCACAATTAGGACTCTCCATCCATCTTTATCCCATCTTACACAAAAAGCACCGTACAAACAGATGTTTGCTTTTATACAGGGTTTTGGCATGGAAAATGGTCGAACAGTTAAAAATTCAGGAAGTTAGGAGAGAGACAAACTTTTAAACTTGTCCCTCTGTGTCTCTGGTAAACAGCAGTTTAATACATTAAATTCTGTGACATCCTTCCTTACCAAAACCTGTCTCTCACCATAGTTTAATTCACACGGTTATGAAAGTTGTTTCAGAAGAGAAAAATAATTCTTTTGATATCTAAGCTTCTAATTTTTATTCTGGAATTCAGCAAAACAATGAAACTGGCAAAAATATCTGCAAACATAACAATTCGGCTCAAACCCTGCCTATAGAGTGTAATCGCTCTAAGTGCTTTCAAAGGCAGGGATTTTTCCTGTGCTTAAAATCCATTAAATTACACAAGCTGCTTTCACCTTAGAAATCTTAGATCTCTTGAAATTATTTGTATCATTTTATGGCAATGATCAAAAAGAATTACTGAAGTCAGTGGAAAGCTTCCTACTTTAGGTAGCAAGCTAACAGTGAAATATAAACTACTGAAGCACTGAGATTTATTTTTTTTTATTTAATTCTACATGATTCAGGAAAACTGCTTAATTTGAGAGTCTTCATATCTCACGCAGGGTCTCTCCTCAGTTAACAGAACCTTCAGCAGGTCCTGAAAAACACTGAAAGTGCTCAGTATTTGCAGATTATGGGCAATATCAGGGAATTTGTGGGCTACTGTAAGTATCAGTACTACTGAGGAAACCAGGAAGTCTTATTTTTAGTAATTCACGTCAGCAAATTCCTATTCACCTTTTCTCACCAAACACCTTTAGCCGTATCTCCAGAACTTTTCTAGCAGAACGTAGTAATACAAAGATGCAGAACAGTGCTCTCGCAGATTAATGCACTTCTTATTCCTAAAAAGCACTTATAGCACTACTTTAATAAGCTGACTACAAGATAGAGTATTTCTCATAAAAGGGATAAGAATAATCAACTGTTAAT